GGGCTGGAGCGATGCCTCCAGGGCCCACAGGGTAAAGCTCTGACCCTCTTTGAATTTTTCTGGTATTTAGGGGTTTCTGCTGAGGTGTTTGGGTCCTGTAACATTTAAAGGGATTTGTGAAGAGTTCCTGAGCAAAATAAAAATGGGAATAACTCTGCTGGGGCTGGGAACAACACTGACCCAAGGCCACAGCTTCTGTACAAGCCCCGCAAAGCCCGACATTAGACACAGGCTCAGCGCAGCCCTCGGGCAGTTCAGCATCTCAGGAATGACCGAGTCCAGGATTAAACCTGCACAAAGGTTTTTGTGGAGCTCCCAGGAATTATGGGGAGTCCTGTGGGAGCCGGGCAGTTAGGAAACGCACTGCGCATTTGCCAGTGAGCACCAGCGAAGGTGCTGGCTCTGCCAGGGCTCACTGCACTGGGCATCGACCAGTGGGACTGTACCCTTCGGCTTGAAAACAATCACTAAGAGCTAAAATTCCCACTACTCCAAAGAGGTATTGATTTCATAATTATTCTGGGTAGCTCAAAACTTACCAAGGTTACAACCATACCATGCCAAATAAACTTCTGCTTCTCCCCCACCTTAAGCTGGACTTTGGTGACCAGCCCCCCCCCCTGAACCAGCAGAATTCATCACCTCCTCTGCAGCGTGGCTTCCCAGCATTTGTGCACAGACAGCATTAATCTCTAACACTAATCATTTGGGGAAATAGGATTTTCAGAGGCACTTATTCCTTGGCCCAAGGCTACAGGATGTCAGCCAGGCCGCTCTTCCAAAGCTAGACTCATTGCTGCTGTCTCTGCAGCTGGTTGAGAAGGTAACTGCCAGCAGGAACATCCAGCCCACATGGCAGAGAATGCCCCAGCGTTTTGTCTTCTGACTCTTCCCATATATGTGTGACTCAGTTTTGGGCACTGAAATACCAGTTTCTTCCAGAAGTACTGTCCTGGCCTGGATATCACCATTCAACTACATGAATTAGGAGTAAAAAAAGTGCCTGCCTGCTACCATGAGTTTTAGAGCTCCATAATTTGGGCACTCATGGTCCACGCTTTGGGGATCAGAAATGGAAGGATCCACTTCTGAACTCAGCCCTGGCCAGCAATGTCCTGGGGTAGGAGCTCGGGGTAAAGAAAACATCTGTGGGAGGAAGGGCAGCTGCTAACACACTGGTCACGAGAAACCTTGGCCCGTGAGGAGCAGAGAGGGCTGGCGGGGCACCCGCTGTCCGTACGCTCTCACCTGCACACTCGAAGTGCACCTTCGCCATCAGTGCCCTCAGGGGTCCTTTGGGAGACAGCCGGCAGGATCCTCCAACGGGCGGCTGGTTTGGGAGCAGATCGATGGAGGCGAATCCTTCCTCCCCTGTTGTGAGGTCTGTGATGTGAAGGGTAAAAGTATATCCCTCCCCATCCTTCAGCGCCCCTTGCCTCAAGACCAGGTTCATGCCTGTGTCGCCAGTGGAGGTAGTTTTTTTGTCCAGGATGAGAGACTTGTTTTTAAAGCTGTGTGCTGCCCATCTCTGTAGAGATGAAGAGGGGAAAGACAGGAGAGGTTTTGTTTAAATCTGAAGTTATGTCCTTAAAATGTTTTCAGATTGAGTCTCTTATAAAAAGTAACAGATTTCTAGTGGGAGCGTCTGCCAAATTTGCAGTTGATAATTCAGCTTTAGTCTTGTGTGCTACAGCAACAAGAACTGGAACCTTTCCAAAATGTCTGGTGGGAATATTTCCACTGTGAGATCTACTTTAGTCTCTGGGATTACATCACCCTCCGACAGAAAATTTCATAATACAGAATACAAAACACAGGAAATAAATTAAGTACTGGTGGAGTCTCCACGGGATACCATGTTTTATATGCTTCAAGCTGAACGTGTCCTGGATGGTTACTGTTAATAGCACAAATGTACAATCGCGATAACAAGAGGAACAGTGAGACAGCCAGAAAATGCCATGCAAGTACATGCTGGGCTTGCTGGGAGCAATACGGACTAGGTCTCGCAACAGGACTTCCACTTCTGGGACCTGCTTCATTCAACAGGTTGCGGAGATGCTGCGTAGTGGAATCTGTACTTAGAGGAGGGCATGAGGGACTTGGGGGATCAGAAGAGTCTAAACAACCTCTGCTCGAGCCACCAGAATAATGGGCAAAATGCCAATCAGCACGGAGAAGAAAACACTTTACAGACCTCTTCTAGGAAAAAAAAAAGTGGCTTTTGTGTGAAAAGAGCTGGGCACTCACAGGCTTGGCTTGAAAACGACCCAGCAAGGACTTGCCCTTGGGTAGGTCGAGACACGGATGGAGGACTGACAGACCACGTGTCCCGCAGCCTGCAGGCACAACCCAGGGCTAAGGAAAGCTCTGGACATCTCACAGGGGGTCCAGTGGTCACAGGAGATGAGGAACCTGCTTGACAAGCTCTCCTAGCCTCCTCCATGCTGCCGAGACACGGCACGGCACGTGGAGCCCCATGTCACCCTAGGCAAGCTCTGGGCAGGGCCTGTTTTAAACTTCTGACTCTGCAAGCCAGTCCTGCAGCCAGTTCCAGGGGCTGTGATGAAGAGACCAGTAACAGCCAGCCTTCTTCATCCCCTCAGCCAGACCCAGCCTGCCACTGCATTTACGGTCAGAGATTGTTTCCCCTCCTTGCCTCTATGGCAGTTTAGGTCCAGAACTTTATTTCTCACAGAGCTCTTTCCAGCCTGTCCTCTCTGACTCTCCCCTTCTCCCTGAAGTCCACCAAAGGTGAAGCAAAGACCAGCATTGCTGATGACTTTACCCCAAGCTTGGAGTCGTTGTGACAGTTCTGGCAGGTCCCCTCCAGGTAGACGTAGGAGCTCTTGCTAACTTCATAGACGGACTGAGCCTTGCAGGAAACGCACTCCAGGGACACGATAGGGACTCCTCCCCTCTTGATGAATACCTGGGAAAGCAAGAGGCTCCGTCAGAAGATCCGAGACAAAAAGACAGACATCTAACAGGTAAGGAGACATCCCAGCACCTGCTTCTGCAAGGAGGAATTGCTCTGCACCAGCCCAGTCTGTGCTAAGGAAACAGCAGAAAGGGATTTCCAAAGGATTTCAGGTCAGACTTAAGCTACATCACTTTTCTTACACTGGCCAGGGCGAGTTCTTCTGTCACTGATTTTCAAGAGCCACCCAATGCCAAGCTGGGCCAACCTAGGTAATTCTGGATTTACTTTATTTACACTTTTTAACAACAGAAATCACCTTCAAAATGTCCCTCTGGTACCCTGTGCTGAATTCCCAGCAAGTCCTGCTTGTACTGTCAGGTGGGGATGATGCTAACTGAGGCACTTTGCTGTACTGACCATCTCAGGACAGCTATTAACCCTACAAAAATGGGATCTGTGTTGGAGTTTGGAGAAGAGGAGCAGTCTAACCGGGAGGAGGAAAGCCTCCGTTACAGCACACACCAAGCATCTGGTGAGCGCCTGCCCCGGGAAGCAACTGCAGCTCTCCTTTGTCTTCTGCGGGCCAAACTCTCGGCCCTGCCTCTGCAGCTGCGGAGCGCCCGGCCCGCTGGGGTCACAGCAGATCTGCCGGGGACACAGGAGCGTGGGGCTGCGGGTCCCTGTCCTCGGCTCGGAAAGGCGCTAGATGGGAAGCACTGACAGCCAGAGTAACAGAGGGTGAGCCAGGGAGCCTGGGTTTACTGAGGACGCGCGGCCCCGTGCAAAGCCAGCATGGTCCCGCTGTCTCCCCCATCCCCGCTGTGGTCTGCAGAGCCTGGGCTAGAAACGCGTGCCACATTTCAGGACCCGACCCTTGGGCTCTCGAGTGCACGGCCTGTGCAGAACCATCATTTCTGGCACTACCTACATCCCTGAGAGACAGGAATGATGATGAAAATAGCCAGGAAACACAGCTCCCGCTGTGCACCAAATGCATTTTGCTCTGCAGCCTGGAAGACCCACCTTCTCCCGAGAGCAGCATGTTGTTCCAGGCTTTTAGCTCAGATCTAAGCTGCACATCTCAAGACATCTACCACACCTGCCCGGCAAAGCGCTCAGAGAGAAGAGAGCTTTAGAAGCACCGGTGACTCAGACACAACAGCTATTGAGCTCTGACCCCTGTGCTTTGTCTAAATTCCTTTAATCCCCTAGGAAACAGGGTTGTCCAGCATTCGACAGAGCCCTCTGCCCTGGCATAATGAATATTCCGAATTCAAAGACAGACAGTAATGAAGACATTGTTTAATATGGCAGACTTTTAAAAGAGGATAAATATTCCACAGCACTAAGCCGAAGCGCATTGAAGCTTCATTCATTCCTACAGTATTTGCAAATTTCCTGCGACACTGGAATCATTGTTTTGCGCTCATGCATGGAAACCAGATAGTACGGAATGTCCTTGAAAGACTATCAATTTAATTTTTTTTCTTTTTATCCTCCAGCTTTGGTTTAAAACCCAGGCAGTAAGAGTTTCCACTTTCAGACTAACTATATCTCTAATTGCCAAATGCACCACGATGAGTGTTTCTGACATAAACCATAACTGCTGTCGGACTGCAGATGCATGCAGCGTTAGGCTTAATTTGACATAAACAACATGCACTTAAAAAAATCCTCCCTTAAAAAAATTCAGAAACAGAGAAGGGATGAACCATTGACAGTAAAATTAAGTAGCAGCTCTTAGGAAGCTCTCTGGGCAAAAGTCAGGGAAGAGCCTGGTACTGTGACATGGGAAGAGCCTGGGACTGCACACAGTGGTGGAAGAGCTACCGACCACGGGCTCCTTTGCTGTCCTCCCAGGGCACATCTGCAGTCGCAGACTCTCAGCTCCAGGAACGGTGGCCCGTGCTGTCCAGGGCTGGGTCACTAATGCAGCCTCTACGCACAGAGGGACTAACACAAGGTCTAAAGGAAGGAAGAAGCTAAAAGGACTTGGCAGGACAAGCAAAAAGTGCTGCTCAAGGCAGCATAAGATGAATATATTACAGAAATACCACTGCCTGTTCCTGCCAATGACCTGGACGGGATCAGTTATGGAGCCCTGGTGATGCCCTAGAATCTGCCTCCCCTGCTTTCCCTTGCTGGCTGGTACAGGTAGGCAGTGGTACTTCCACACCCCAGCTGAACTGGCACCGGCTCTCGGATCGGGACAGGGGACACAGCCTGGGGAGTCTCCCATGGCTGGGCACGGACCTGAGCCAGCAGCACTCTCCTCTAGAAAATTCCTTAGGGAAAGGGCCGGGGACTTCCAGCTCAGCTGTGTCCAGCAACAGGCACGCAAGGACAGAAAGCGATGGTTGTCTGGTACGTACGGTTTGATTTGTTGCCTCGGGACTCATACCCTCCTTCCTGACGGTGAGGTCGAACGTATACTCCACATCTGCTTCTAATACAGCTTTGGAAATTGTGACAATTCCTTCCTTGGCACTGAAATTCAGAGAGCACCCTGCAGCCGAGCTCTGCTTGCAAGGAGAAAAGAACTTTCAAACCCTCCTTGGTACGGGTGCACATCGGGTTAGTCCGTAGCCAAAACATTCAGGTCCACACAAAGCCACTGTTACAGATCTTACTGTGCAATGCCACCACGCTGGTGGGAGAAACGGGGTGGTGTGTGGACAACAGAGCACATTATCCTATTCTTCAGGTTAGTATGCAGTACTTGGAATACTCCTGTATTTCATACGAGCTTCACGTTCTTATTTTATAGCAATTAATTCTTCGTTAAATAGCTTATAAATATTGACAAACAACATAAAAAGCCCATATTAAACTCAAAAGTCTAATCCACACACACTCGCGTCTTTCTATTTTGAGGTAAAGATAGAAAACAGTGACTTTTTACAAGCAAAAGAATCCCACATTCAAGCAAAAAATGCTCCTGAGGTGGATCTCCCATCAGAATTTGAAGGGCAGATCTCCCTTGCCCTTCTACCACTGTAGGGTCAGACCATTTCAGTGCGTGAGGACAGTGACCTGCTGGTGACCACAGTGACCATGACTTGTGGTCACTTGACTCCTCCAAAGTTTAACTTTGGCCCCTGCTGAAATTAGAGACATTGAACTGTTAACGGGAGAGGGATGAGAGCCCGCAGCTCCCCGGGACTGCGCTCAGCAGCTCTGTCACGCCTTCAGGTTACGGAAGCAGCTACACTGAAACCGTGAACCAGAGGCCAAGCACAAAGGAAGCAGCAACGTGAATGCCTCAGCTTCCAGTGCCAACACTTCTGCCCTGCCCAGGCACACCGCGCAGTGCCGACTGCAGCAGGCTGCACGGCACAACTCTCCACAGCAATTTTTGTGCCACCACCCTGAGCTGAGAATTGGGAAACCTTTGCAACCTTCTTTCTGGAGCAGCCTTGTTAAAGATGCTCACAAAAGCTCCCCTCAACACCATTTCAGCCCACTCAGATGTTTGTGGTGGAGCTGACATGCAGCTGGAGCTCCAAAATGATCAACCCCTCTGGCTGTGCGAAACTGCTCTTACCTTGGAGGAGAATGTACAAGACCAATCGTATAACAACGGAGTCTGTTCACCATCATCCAAGTTCGGGTCATAGGACTTCTCCCCATCCAAGATTAAGTCCTGAGTGTTGGACCATACCCGGTATGACCCCCCATCAATGATTGGGACCAGCTTACTTGGTATCACAGTCACATTGGCAAAGATGCTTTTGGACAGCGGGGTATCTCCAAAGGAGACAATAAAGATGAAGCAATAGTTCCCAACTTCTAGGGCAAGCTTCGGTATAACTAACTGGGGCCTGTTCACATCGACGTTTGGCAGCCGGATCCTGCTGGAGTCATCCAAGTTCATGCAGCTGGGTGCTCGGTAGATCTCCCATAGGTGCTCCGTCTGGTACTTGATGCATCCTCGGAGGTCAATCTGTGCCTCTAGGTAGTTCCTCTGGGACCGCTTCATGACTACTTGAGGGGGCAAGGCTAACTCCACCTCTGGCTCCTCACACTCCAGGACTTTGACGGTGACAGTGAGGTGGGCTATGAAGAAGCTGATGAGATTGGTGGCATTCACCTCCACCAGGTAATCCCCAGGGCTCAGGTAAGAATAGTTGGCCACTGCAACCCTGGTCATTTGAGTGGAAGAGCCATCCCCAAAGGTCCACAGGAACTCAACACTCCTGCTGCTGGGCACCACTGCTGCTTCAAACAGTGCTGTCCTGTTGACAAAGGCATTGGAGGCAGTGAGGGAGACTTGGACTATGGGGTCTTGGACCTGGATGGTTCTGGTGATATTGATACCTCCCAAGTCATTGAAGGCATTGAGGTGAATCTCGAGTAGCCCTGCAGCTTCTGGAGTGTAGGAGACACTCTCTCCTGCCACGGTGACCACAGATCGACCTTGCTCTTTCCACAGGGAGAACTGCCAGGAGAAGGACACACGGGAGCCACTACCCACCTGAGCACTGAAGCTCTTCTCTGTGCCTGTGGGTATGCCTTCCTCACAGCAGTTCAGGAGCCTGACATCACGGATGGCCTCCAGGACAGAGATGAGCACCTGGGCATGCGCGATGCTGATTTGATTCTGCACTGTCACGGTCACCAAATAATCACCGCTCTTGGTGAACTCATGCGTGTACTTGGACCCATTGAGCACCACAGAATAGTCCCCACTTATGCTCACCAAGTAACTCACAGAGGTACCCGACAACATCCTGATCACAAAGGTGACCTGTTCCCCTGGCTCCACCACCTTCTTGCTGGCAAGAACTTCCAGTCCTTGAATCCTGTCCAGCACTGAGATATGCCTGCTGGCCAGAGCCCAGCTGATGTCATTCGATGCATTCAGATAGACTGTATAAAACCCTGCTGTGGGGAACATGACTGCCACGGACTGGCCAGTCAACGTGCCATTTGGCAACTCCCAAAGCCATGTCACTTCAGTCCCTTTCTGCAGCTCCCCCTCAAAGACCACCGTGGAGCCTGATGAGACGTACCTGCAGTCCAGTTCTGCAGTCCCTATACTCAGCCCCTCTATGACCTCCTCTACACAGATAGGAATTGTTGCATTGGTTGAATCCAGCTTGTTTTCTGCTCCAATGACGACCTCTATCACTCCAGGGCTTTGGAAGGAGTGGATAATAAAGGGTTCAGAGGTAACAGGAGAGAAGCCATCCTCTAGGTACCAAACATACGTGATGCCAGTGCCACTGGTTATGGTGGTACTTATGTTGACAGAGGCATTAATAGCAACTGGGTTGGGGAAGGCGTAAGGCTTTAAAAGACCAATGCTTTCAATGAACTCCAGTGTCCTGTTAGCAGTTGCGCACCCCAGCATATTAGTGGCTTTCAGATAGACAGTGTAGTTTCCAGCTTCTAGGATGCTCAAGGAGAAGGTTTTCCCAGTGAAGGTCTGCACCGCATTGCCATCCCTTTGGGCTACCCAGCTGTAAGAGATGTTCGTTCCCTCTCTCACCACTGCCTGCAAATGGAGTGTTTTGTTAGTTGGGAAATAGATGTCCTCCACCAGGTCACTGCTAGCCACCTGCAGGCCTTCAATCTGCTCCAGGACGTAGACGTAGATGCTGTCCTGCAACGAGCTGATCTTGTTCTCTGCTGTCACAATGACATTGAACGTGCCCACAGACCGGAAAGTGTAGGAAATTGTGGAGGAGCCTTGGATAGGAGTGCACCGGTCGCAGAGGATCCACGAGTAGCGGATGGCACTGCCAGCTACAAGCGTGGCTACAAAACTCACCGAACCGTTTAATGGCACCACTGTCCTGCTGGCATTGATGGTCAGCCCATGGAGTCGGCGTTTCACTGTGATGTCGATGATGGTCTCATTAAAGCTCACATCATTCTGCCCCATCACACTAATAGTGTAATGGCCTGTGTTGTTGTAGGAGTGGGCAGCGATTTGGCCAGGCTGGGTAGTGCCATCTCCAAAGTCCCAACAGTAACTCACTTTCGTTCCATTCATGCTGGCAGAGAACAGGTAGATCTGGTTCAGCTCCAAAACACTTGTCCCGTTATATTCAATCTTTGCCACTCCAACTGGTTCCTGGACTTCCACAAACGCTGTGTCGTTGTTGAAAGAGACATTGTTGGAGACGGTCACCGTGACCAGGAAAACCCCCGTGTTCTTGTAGGTGTAAGTCACTTCAGTCCCACTCGATCTGGTGGACTCATTGTTCCCGAAATCCCAGCGGTAGCGGTACTGGTAGAGAGGCACGGCACTGACCTGGAAGCTGCTCTCTTCACCAAGCCTCACAAACTGCTTGGAAGGGAGAAGGGTGACATTGACAATATCTGGCTCCACACAGACGCTGGTGAAATAGTGAGCCTTGTTAAACCTGCTTGAGAGAGTCAGGGAGAGGGGGAATGTCCCGCTTCGGGTGAAGTTGTGCATCACTACAGGGTCCCCACTGATTGTGACATTGGACGAGCCGTCTCCAAAAGTCCAATCGAAGATGTATTCCTCAGGATTCCCCGTCACATACGCAGTGAGCTGCACATCTGGGTGCTCAAGGATGCAAGAAGTAGGCTCTATTTTGAGTACTTCCAGGACAAATATCCGAACAGGCACAGTTTGGGAGACAGAGTTCACAGGATTCACAGCTGTCACGTTCACAGTGCAGTTGATGTCCTTTATGTACACATGTTCTACCACTGGCACCTGACTCCTCAGCACCGTCCCGTCCCCCATATCGAATATCCAGGTGATACTGTCCCCCGTCTGCACTGAAGCATTAAGGGTCACAGATGCTCCCAGCTCTGCTGCCTCATCTGCGGAAACGTGGAGCCCAGTTATCTCTTCAAACACTTGGTAGCACTCAACTGTCTCCACGCTGCTTATGGTATTGTTCGCTGTCAGGGTGATGTTGTATATCCCTCTTCTGGAGTAGCTGTAGGTCACTGTAGACTGGCTCTCTGTGAACAGTGAGAACCCATCCCCGAAGTCCCAGCTGTACACGACACCGTAAGGAGATGGCAGTGGATTGGCTCTGAAGATGACCGGACGGCTCACAACTAAAACATCCTCCTCTACTTCCATCTTCACATCAATCAGATAACTGTGGACGTGAACTGGGGTCAAGTGGGTGAGGTTCTCAAACTGATTTGACACGAGAACCACCAGAGCATATTCACCTGCATAGGAAGAGAGCAGAAAAAGACCAGTTGTGAGGACATGCTTGTGCAACAGCTTCCTCAGTGCTGCAGCAGTGTGGGGAGCGTGACGGGGGACTGCGGGGAGATACTCTGCTCCTGCACTGCACACACCCTCGGCTTCCCTCCTCTGGTCCAGGACAAGCAGGAATTACAACCTGGCCATGCATGTGAGGACCAAACACCAAGTAAGAAGCCAGTCCGAGAGATACAGAGAAAAGATTTTCTTTCTGTTCGCTCACACAACAGACCCCCTTCCTGCTGCCCGCAGTAGCGCTCCCTACCCCACCTCCTGTTGGCACAGAGCTCGCCTGCCACTCATCTATCTGCTGAGACTGCCCAAAAAGGGGACTGTGTGCGGTGGACCTGCTGCTTACAGCATGGACAAACTTCTAGAGTAACAGAGGACGGCAATTACTTGAGACTTACAGTCACTCTGGCTGTTTGCTCAGGAACGAGATAATGACTTTCAAGCCATTGTTTTATTGGAAGGTACCTTGTTTGGAATGTACCTTCCATTCCCTTGGAATGAAAATATCTGAGCCCCTTCTTCCCCAGAGAACCGTCCTGAGCATACCTGGGTCTTGATAGATGTGTGAAACATTGTGCTCAATTACAACCTCATGGACACTGGGATCAGGAACAAGGAAAGACTTGTTGTAGGGAGGTCTGAACAGGTATGTCTCCTGGACACCATCTCCAAAATCCCACCTGGAGAAACATTCAAACCATGTTACACTGCACAACAGGAGAATCATGGAAAGCCCAGAGGAACCCTGGCCTGGCCTAGGGCTCTCTTTCAGGCCCAGGGCTGGGGTTTTCCGAAAAACCACAGGAAACATAATGCCAAGTATCAAAGCAGTAGCTGTGCCCAGTGCTGCAGAATTATTGCTGTGAGAGGAGTACAGCACTGGTAAGAAGAGGAGGAACCCAGTATTAAAGCAACGTTGCAATCCTTTAAAGTATTTCAGCCTGAACTATAGGTTGCAGCTAGTGTGACAGGACCACACTTGGAGGGATTTCAAATTAACTAGACAGCAGCTGAGAGATGGGCTATTTGACATCAGCTGGCCCTGGGAAGAGAAATAGCACAGGCAAGACTGGTAAGCTATGCACAGTAAGATCCTAAGTTCAGGCAACTTGCAAAGGACTCACAGGAACATAGCATCCACAGCTGAATCAACCTGAACTCTTGCTGTGAGCTCCACGGTGCTGTTCTGAGGGAGGACCGGCAGGACACCCAACACCGTCAGGTTCTTCATCTTATTCATCATCTCCACCGTGACATTGTAATTGACTGTAAAGTTACTGACGTGGTTGGAGGCGGTGAGCTGGGAAGGACAGTGGGACAAAGAGTGCATTTGGGATCACCTTGCCGTGCCGCCCTCTCCTGAGAGTGGGGCTTCACGGTACTGAAGAGGTCCCCCCAGGCGGGCAAGCAGGTTAGGTCAGAGAAGAGGAGCCTGTGGGACAGGGAGGCAGGGGCAATAGCCTGAGTGGGCACTGGAAAGCAACACAGACTGGAAGGCCACCTACCTGGCAAAGCCACCTCTTGCTGGAACTACCGCATCTCCACCACTAAAGCCAGTCCAAGGAAGGACTGGTTCTACAGCAAGAGGACAAGGAGAACAGCTTCTCATCCCGAGACTCCTCTGGCTCTGAACTTGCCAGTTACCCTTTTGCCTGCTCCGAGGTATCCCGCACAGTCTCCACCTGCTGAGCCCTTGCTGCCACCAAGGAGGCAACAGACACCCAGTTTCCTTTGGACAGTGGCAGATGAGTGGCTCCAAGCACAGAGAGTGGGGGTGGAAGAGGCTCATAAAACCAAGCACGCCAAGTGCAGCTCCAGCATCCTGGGTGTAGTGGGCACAGAGAGGGAGAGCAAAGTTGGGCAGAGGAGGGAAAGGGAGAATGGACGGGCAAGAGACTGAAGAGACATAACAGAAGGAGAGCAGGATCCTCAAGATTATCTAGGCATGTAACACTGACATGACACCTAATGACGAAGCATCTCGCCACCTCCTCACCTGCAGGAGAGCTGAGCTGCTGACAGAAGGGATCCTTCAAACCCGGTTGAATAGAGACCTCCCACCCCAACAGGTAAAAGAAGTTTGTGTCTAGGCTTCTGTGGATCTGTTACACTGAACCCAGCTGACCCCAGACTAATGCCACCTTGTCAACTCTGTAAGTAAAAGCAATCCAGGCTTGTCAGCACGGTGCTTCACCCAGCAAATTAGTGCTACTCAGCATAGTGCTGCACCAAGCAAATTAGTGCTAGCGTGCCCTTGGAGCTGGGGCTGGTGTCTCTTCAGGAAGCCAGCAGTTACCCTGCAACGGATCAAGCAGCTTGGAGCCAGACCAGGACTCTGCATGGCAGTACAGGGCATGATACAGAAATATCTTCTGGCCAGAGATAAACTCCTGTTCCACAACAGATACCTCCCTCTGCCCAGACTCTCTGCTCTGTCCTTCTTCTGGGAATCCAGTGTTCCAGTCTGCACCAGTAGGAAGGGAACAGGACAGAGAGACCAGAAGAGCTTGTGGCAGAAGCTCTGTCCTGCCTATGAAAGTCTTACGTTTGCATCCTGCCTCTGCCTGGCTCTGAATCCACATCTCCTGCCTGCCAAAGCAGTGGCTGGCACCCTGCAGTGGGGCTCCCCGCCTCACTTCTGCTGGGGAGGAGTAAGGACAGACACCCCATGAGCAGAAAGGAGAACACGGAGAAAAGAGGAGAAAGCAAAGACAAGGAAGACAGCGAAGTCAGCTGTAATGGAAGAATAGGAAGAAACTTACTATTAGCATTTGCAAGAGCAGCTCAGTGAGAAACAGATGATGAGCTTGTTAGGAGGACAGTGAAAATCTCAACTCAACTCTGCCTTCTCCTCTCCCTGCTGCTTTTCCTGCTTAGTTTGTGGGATGAGATGGAAAACCAGGATCGAAATGGTATCATGGGAAAGGCCTTGGCTTACCGAAAGCTTGTACACAGCTGGGCTTTGGTAGATAACGTTGAAGACAACATTGTAAAAAGTGAAAGATGGCTTATCATCTACTGTCCATCGGAAAGTCACATCTGACCCAGCTTCCATCACAGGGACGTAGCTCTGAAAGGCATGAGGACATTTTATACTAGTGCAAGAGAAAAGCACGCACAGCGCTTCCCAGGAGATCTCCAGCTGAACTGGAGAGGGAGCAGAGCCAGACTGGGAGGCATCACACACCTGTAAGACAGTGCCCTCAGAGCATGACACAGAGGTGCAAGATCATCTGTGGCTTTCTTGCTGATAGAGAAATGCCAACCTTGACTCCCTAAATCAACAGCAGAGCTGGGAGCAGAACCCCTACTGCCTGCTCCCACACCCTAGTGCTCTGCTTTTGTGATCAGGCCTCTCTTGCTGGCTAAAAAACTTTCTGGTATCTTTGCAGAAACAGCTCAGCTTCAGCTACACCCGTAAGCTGAGTCTCTGACCCTCGTCCGTTGATGGTGCCTGACCCAAAGGCTAAAATGGTTGACGTGCGCCGCACAGGGTAGGCTCCCTCCTCACTCCTACAGTGCCTCCTGAGCAGACTGTGGTAGCCAGGAAGGGTGAGACCAACAGGCATTGCAGGCACAGGGTTCTGCCATAAGCAGCCAGAGACTGAGCAGAGCATTTCACAGATACCGATGGGCAGTTATTGAACAGGTTCCTCGGGCTTGGCTGTAGCTCTGAGGACAGGGGATTGAAGAAAAAAAAAGACTGCAAACACCAGAGTAACTCCAAGACTTTGATGGATGGATGGAACATTTTTATAGCCTCAGCCAGCTGATGTAAGGATTTAGTAGAGTAAATCTGAACACCTAAAGGAGTAACTACCTTGACAAGTCAAAAGAAGGTAAATACTGGCCTTTCATAATGCCTCTGGTTTTCTGTGGAACTGGAAAGCCGGTATCCCCCTTGCAGGAGGTGCCGCCTTACCTCTGAGGGAGTTAAAGTGAAGGTACAGCTGAGCTGCCTTCCTGCTGGAGAGCACCAGTGCTTTCTGCCGCATGCCTGCGTCTGCAGCAGCGCTGTCTGCACGGCCTGGGAGCTGGCGCTTAGCAGCAAGCAGTGCTACCCCAACCAGTGTGGAGCCGAGCCCCAGCCCTCCTCGTGAGCCAAACCCACACCGTCAGCAGTAGAGGCTAAAAACGCTACCAACAAATTAAAAGCAGCAGCGATCACTCACCACTCGTGTATTTAGCAGGACTCTGCTCTCAGGGTCAGGGGTGGCCCGCAGCCCGCGGATGGGCTCCTCCACTTTCACTGTGATGGTGATGTTCTGGGAGCTCACGGCGTTCTCCACAACAAGCACGTGGGTGCTCACCCCCTCCCTGAGGCCGCTCAGGCTGACCACAGCAAACCAGGTGTCGTTGGTCTCCCTGGCACAGTCCGCTGTCAGCAGTGCAACAGCCGCTGGGCAGGAGCCCTCGAAGGGGAAGGTGTGGTTGTCTCCCAGCCAGCTAGCTGTCGCGTTCACCCCTGAGGAGAGTTTGACGACCAGGGTAGTGTGGTTGGATGGTAGGTAGACCCTGCCGCTCTGAGGAGCGGGATGGATGACACGCAGGCCTGACACCCAGGAAGTCACCCAGAAACTGCAGGACAGATTGGCGCTGAAGACCCCGTTGTCCACGCTGGCTCTGACCGTGTAGCGACCTGGATGCTCCAGCCCCGCGTTGCGGGGGCTGATCACCGGGACCAGCTGCTCCTCGGCATAGCGAACTCGGACAGAGCAAACAGTGTTGTTTATCCAGGTGGCACCGATGGAGCTGTCGGACAGACCAAGTGCCCACTCTGAAGAGTTTGTGCTTAAGACGTTGGTTCTGTAAGGGGATGTGGCACTCGGCTGGCACTGGAGGAGTAAGCCCAAGCCTGCATTGTGCTGGATACTGAAGATGTCCTTGGCCCTGACAAAAATACTTTCTTTTCTGAATGTGACCTGCAGAGAAATGAGACATTTTTGGATTAATGCCTCAAATTAAGAGCGCTCAGCACCCAACTCTTGCCTGGGCAAGACAGCTGGATTTACTGCCAAGTGGAAACCCACACAAAAGCCACAGATCCAAACACAGCATGGGAAGACATTTCACCACTCTGCTCTCCTTGGCCACTCTGAATCAAATGTGCTAACATGGAAGTCAGCTTTATGCTCTATCTCCACTTCGTAAGTGCAAGGGGAACAGCCCAGGAAATCTGCAGAGCCTTTTGACCAACTGTGCTATTGCAACAGGTTACTGCAGGGAGTCCACGGCTTAGAGCGGGGCAGACAGAAAGTGGTGGCACGTGTGACACTGGGCAAGTCACTTCATTTGAATGGGCTTCAGTACCTCCATCTGCAAACTGGGAACAATTCTTTATTTACCCAAAGCACTCAAGAGAAAACTGCCCCACCTACTCACTGGTTACAGCAGCTAATAAACACTGACCAGATACTGGGAAGAAGGGCCAGCTGGTATTGTAAAGAGAAATTCCTTGATGAGTTCATAGCTGAGCTGGCTTTCATTGTGCTGAAGTGAAACGGGGGTAGAGCTGCTGGCAAGAGAACTGTTGGCACACTCGGTCGCATTGCAGCAGTTGTTTAGCGATGAGCACAAATTAGTCAAATGACACCACTGGAAACCAGGAGGACATTCAAGTAGAGTCCAGTTCCCGTCATCCTGAGCAGTGTGGAATGGTTCTGTAGCATTTTTTCCCTCCTGGTAGCCTGGAAGAAGTGAAAGAGAAAGCAAAGATCACCATCCTGACAAGTAACATTTCTAGTGCACTTCTCGCTCCAAATTCACCATTTTTCTCCACCCTTAGTAAAAGCTGCAACTGCAACACAGCCTGGTACTACACAAGACAAGTGTCCCGTTTTACAGGAAAAATTCACAAACGCACAAAGATCATTAAAAACAAAGTTAGTCTCTTTTCCAGTGCGAATGCACCAATTTGCAATCTAAAACAGGTCTATGTTCAAGCGAAAGCGAGTCCAAGTAAAAGCAGAGCTGGCTTTGACACTGAAAACACATTAAGCAACTTTTCTTAAGTTAACGTTTCCATGTCAGAGTATCAGCTTTTCAGTGTCAGAAAACATCCTTTTGAAACCAGCCAACCCTATGGCTATAGCAAACATTCTGCTGCAAAATGAATTGTTGCCAAAACTGTGACTATTGAGCTGTTGTACACGGAATAAAAGGCTTATTAGATTATCTCATCCGTCAGGAAGAAACGGGCTCAGGAACGTGTTCTTCCTTGTTAACCTGTGGGGCCAGATGGACCAGAAGACATTCCCATTTGACATGTCACGTCTTCCCAAAGTATAAAAGTAGAGCTCAGAAGATTAATTCGCTTCTACACATGTTCCTTACACTCACATTTTCTTCACACATTGAGACAGGTTTCTCCATTAATTTCTCCAGGACAACCACTTCTCCAAGGCAACCCCAGGCTGTCCAACCACACCTGCAGATTTTGCACTTGCGTATCCTCAAAAAACAGAACGAAATCTCTGAGCCTTTAAGGCTTCAAAGCTTCTGCTTTGAAGACAGAGGGGCCACAAGAAGGCCACACACACTCGGTTTGACATGGCCCTGATGGCAGCAGCTCTAACAATACCACAAGAGTTGAGAGGAGGTGCCTCACCTTCTCCATCTACCAGTCTATGCACCTGGAACCTCACTTGAACGGGTTGATGCAGTTCCTGTGTCACAAACTCCAGGGCAGTCAAATATCCCTCGTGCCTGAAGGCCAGCTCAGGGAACACCATCACCTGCAAAACAAACAAGGCTCTCACCTGCCTGCGTCTCCCTGGGCTCCCTCTGCAGCAGCAGGATGAGCAAACTCTTCTTACCTCCACAGCTTGCCACGGAGCTGCCAGCACATCTTCTGTCACGTTTTTCACAGCCTCATGTGTGTCAAACACAGGATCTCCCACAAAGAAGTTTTCGGCATTTAAGAGAATTCCTGTTTACAAAGGAAATATTTGAACAAAGCCCCTGAGACTCAGCAAGGCCTGAAGCTATTCCCCCACCCTGCTGACGCTTGCTCACACCGTGCAGCAGAGCTGTAGCAGGGCTCGGACCACGCAGGAGTCTGTAACTCCAGCTTTACTGGAGAAGCAGCTGCTGTAATCCTGTAGTTTCCTTCTTCTTCTTCTTACAGGTGTTTTGATTTCTTTCTCATCCTGCCCAAGTAATGTTTGCATTTGCAATCCTCAGCAATTTTGACTTCTAGGAACTCTGCAAATACTTCTCCCTTCCAACACCCCATGATTTGCTTTGAATTTCTGAGCACGAGGTGCACTCCCCATCCTCCCTGTCCTCCAGACTTCATGGGAAACGTGGCCAGGACCAGCTGGTTTCCACCAGCGGCAAACGCCTCTGGCTCAGTCACAGCCAGGTCAGGCTCTGGGGACCGAGCGCAACCAGCTGATGCCGACCCTCCTACCAGGGCCAGTGGGCTCTCTTCCTAGTGCTGGCTTTTCCTTCTTACCTAAATCTTCTCCCATATTTCACGTCCTTTCTGCTTCTTTTTCTTATTCCCTACATCACTTTGGGAGATTTGGGAGGTTGCATAAACACAAACCTGCACCGCACACACCACATAAAAGCTCACCTAATGATCTCCAAGGCCCTATAGTCTTTTAAGTCACAAGACCCCAACATCTCACAAACTACAAGATGCTGCAGGAGGACAGCAAGAGTCGCCAAGGGAGCACCATGGCCTCAGATCCTGGCAGGAGCAGAGACTGCTCAAATAAGAGAGAAAAGCTATTTCCAAAGCTCTGCCTCAGAGCTTCGCTCCCATCTCTACTTCTGTTGATGGCAAAGATTGGAGCGGGCCCAATTCTTCCCTTTGGGCTGAGGCCAGATTTCTGAAAGTTTATCAGTCAAGCCTCTGTTGGGAATATTGTGGTTGCTGCCAGTCCTACTTGATCTGGGGTGATGCTCTGCATGACCCCCTCCATTGCAGCTCTATCTTCCCTTGGCACATGCCAGCAAGCAGGATACACACCTGCCCACGATGCCAGGGGACAGCAGGAGAGAAGCAGAGCCCACCTTTTGGCTTGTACTCGCAGACGTAGCTGTGCTTGGCCATGCACAGGTCCGTGTTACACTGGCCCGTTGGGCCCATCCGGACACAGTGGTCAGCGTTTGACGGATGGGGTTCTCCTGGCAGCCAGTTCTGACAGCTCTCCAGATTAAATCCTTCGCCTCTTTGCTGCGCTCCAGTGCTTGCAAAATCATTGAATCCAATCCAGACATCGAGGCTCCTTCAAAAAAAAAAAGAAGGGGGGGGATTTCAGGAAATCATGAGTATTAGAAAGATCTGGGACAGATGCCATCTATGGTTCTCTATGAAAATAATAACCTTAACAACAACAGCTTCATCCAGATGTCACAGGCTGCATTTAACGGAGCTTTTTAGTTACTAAAGGATTTCAGTATCCACTCTACCACCAGAACCCGGCTCTTCAATAGCAGCTCCTTTGCTGCACACCATCCTGCTATCTACCAGCCCTTCCAACCTCTGTCCTAAGGGCTGCAGAAAGCCACCTGCCCTTGGACAAACGGAGGGGACAGCTGAGCCAAAAGGGTCCAGGCAGAGCCATCAACACCAACACTACAGTGCAGCGGGGCTGGGAGAGAGAAGCAGCTCAGGGGACCACTGTGTGCAGCTGAATCAGACCCCTGACGGTCGCTGCCCCACAACTTGAGTCACCCCATTCCCAAAATGCCAGCCCTCTCACTCAGGTTACAAGAGGACCCCGTGAAAGGCTCCGTCAGCACCACCGAGCTCGTGATGTACTGGCAAGCACTGATTCATACCAGCCCCAACTGGTACAGCGCAACGATATCAGGGAGGGTAATGAAACACGGGCAGGAGATGATACTGGCTGGAGAGGAGAAACACGAGGTTGTATTGCTTTCAGAAATCCCCAGCACTCCCTCCAATTGCACATCTTCTGCTTCCCCAAGCTGGAGTTGCTTCCTTCGTATCAATATGTTTATTCGTATCACCATGCATCCCGGCCTCCCCTCCCAGCGGGCACGGAGGGCTGACGGCCACTCGTGGGTGCTGGAAGGGCTGAAGGGAGGAAATCCTGCGCAGTGCAGGGCACTGCAAACTAAGGAGCATCAGCAGGCTGACTTGAACCTCGCACACCTCTTAGGAGAGCAGTCTGTTAAAACGGCCCCCCTGCGCTGCAGCTTGAATGACCCTCACAGACACTTTTAAGCCCGTATGGAGTCACGACTGAAGAGCAATGGTGTGGTCACACAAAACTGCTGCATCCTTTAGAAAACTTGTGCTTCGTTTGTGCAGACCTGTGGCACTGGCCACTAGTCAGTTCTCCACTGCAAGTGGAACTGGCACCGGTGGCAGGATTAAACCTCGGACGGTGCCAGGTACGGGAGCTGCTGTCCAAATCGGGGCATCTTTGATGCGGCTGCTGGGAGGTCACCAACTCCTGAGCCACCACGGAAAGGCAGCAGCCGCGGGGGGACAAGACACCAGCAGCGGAGGCCAAAGCACTGCAGGCAGACGAGCCCCACATATGAAAGAAACCGCCAGGATCGTTTTAGGAAGATGAAATGTCCCTTCCACATTTGGAAACTGGCTGAATCCCAGCAGAGATTCTGGTGGAAAGTGCTGAGCGGTCTTTCATAGCCACAAACAGTCTGGACAACTGTTTCTAATCGCACCCAGCAGAAAGTGAGGCATTTGTTCCGTATTAACTTCTGGGGGTGGGGGAGAACAGCCTCATCATTCAAAGCCCCCAGCTCCTTCTCCACACTCTCTCCTGCAGGTTGCAATCAGTTCTGCTACGGCCTTGCCCCTTTGCTCCAGTGTGCTCCCGGGGTGGTACAACTGCTCTGCAAAAAGCAGACCAGGCATATAATTGGTGTCTCTCCACCACTAGGCTCACGCCAGATGAAATGATTAACGAGGTCATGCTGAAAAACGACGACGAAAATAACTGTTCTGTGAATCAGTAGTTTTCATTGCAAATAAGATTAAAAAATAAATAACCGCTGCGCTCTGCTCCTGAACCACTGGCAGGGGATTAGGGAGAACAGACTAGGAAACCGCCTGTTTGCTGCCGTTAGTAAAACTCGATGGAGATTTTCCTTTCCTAATTCCAGCTATGATCTAACTGCAAGTCATCAAAAAAAAAAAAGAAAAAAAAAGGAAGAAATAGGCTGGCTGGCTTGCTTCCCACCCCTGCCCCGCTGCTTGGCCCATTACCTTGCAGAGAGGAAGAAGAGGGCTCTCGACACCCTCTTCTGAAGCAAGATGTGAGCATCCCTCTGCCTCTGAGGAAGGAACGAGCTGCCTTGCTCGGGGCAGCAGGAGCAGAACGACGCCTGAGGAGGCTTGGGAGGGGAGAGGGGCTCCCTGCGCTGCCTCAGGGGGACAGTGGGGTCCCCTGGAAGGGGTGGGGGCTGGAGCACTCTGCTTCTGGAGGCGGGGAGGGGACCAGCTCAGCGCACGCTCCTCCCGGGGAGGCCATCAAACGACAGGAGCGAAGGAGAGGAGCGCGGTCCTCGCTGCTGCGTGCTCTAATGGGAAACAGATTTCTGCTTCTGTCATTTTCCCACAAGAAACTATGGAGGCTGCATGTTCCAAAAACCTGCAGCTCAGTTGATCTGTCTTTTATCGCCAAGGAAATCGCATCCTGGAACTGCCTCATTCATGTTTATCTGAATGGATTAATAAAATAAATACATGAAATAAAGGGGGCCGGGGAGGAGAGCAACGTGGGGCAGCAGCTGGGAAACAGCTTGGGTGGCTCATTCCCTTCCGAGGTCTCATGATTTCCTTGCGCTGCAGTCCATCAAAAGCCCCGCACGCAATGCCTGATAACTCAGAGCACCAAGTGACCAGTCCCTAACCTGCGGGAAGGGCAGACTCCTCTTCCCTGGAGCAGGGACCACATGTTTGCAATCTCAGGATAAATCCCAGGGTGAAGGGAACAGGGCAAGGACACAAGTTTGGGGAGAAGGGGCTGTCAGATCTTCAGCAGTACCGTTCAAAGCCTACGTCACCAGCAGCTGCTCCCTTCGCATGTGCTTTCTGGGCCATGTTTATTAAGACGCCATCTCCGACATCTGCATCTGGGAGCGCTGACAAGAGCTGTCAGGCCCCTGAAAGCTCTCCTGGTCGTCCTCCCCGCCAAGGCGGCTGGTTGCAGAAAGGGCACTTTGAGGGGCGGATTTAATCAAAGGCTGACACTTTCAGTGCTCTCTGTTTATAAAGCCCGAGTCCTGAGGTGGAACAGATGCTGCTGGCGCCTGACACTTGGAGAGGAGCACTGCTCCTTCTCAGGAGGCGAAAGAAGAGGGGAAGAGGTCTGGGCTTCAGGCTGCAGCCACGTCTGGGAGGGTGCGGGATCCCAGCTGGGAGGCAGGACTGCAGCGCTGGCTTGGGCTTTGCTAGAGTGGCTGCTGGATGCCACGGTGTCACGCACAGGACAACCCAGCTGTAATTCTGCTGATGGAGGGGGCTGGTTGCAAGGTCACCCTCAGGCCCTGCCTGGCAGCCAAACACCCTCCGCACACGAGTACCTGACCCTCTCCACTGTCCGACCTGAGTCTGCAGATTTTGCTGAACTCGCGGGTGGAAGGTCTGCCCAGCCCAGCCCCGTTTGCTCCTGACCCTGCACCCCTCTGCACCATTTCAGATGCACCCACAGGCACAAACATAGAGCACAAGATGCCCACCAGCAGCAATCCCACAATTCCCAGTTCTGACTTCCAGCCTTTTTGCCCCATTCCTCTTCTTCCCTCGACAGCCTTTAAGCAAAGAAGCCAAGTTCAGCAAGGGCTCAAGCTCTGCTTATTCCTCCTCTCTGTTCAGCAGCCTCGCCCCTACCATCTCGCCATACTCAGCCTGGACCCGGCTGTCTCTCCAGCCTGACTGGCTGCAGGACTGCTCGGCAGGACCCTCCCTCCGGACCCCTCTGCAGATGTGACCCCAGGAACACAAGACCTGTCCCTAGGAAATCTCAACCCTTACCCTCCTCGCTTACCTGATGACATGAGCGACCAAGAAGCTCTGGATCTCAGGGCTGCTCACAAAAGCCAGCTCCCCGTTGCCATGCTCCTGACAGTGCTGCTGGGCCTCCAGCCACTCAGCCTTCTCCACCACCAGCTGATAGCAGTGGTTATTGCCCAGGAAAACCAAGCCATCAGGGGGACACATGGGGTGAACTGCTGCATGAGGTAGAAGAACACAAGCATGATGTCCTTTCCGTGGGCCCACGCACCCCAATCCGATCTGGGGAGCGAGGCTCCAGGAATGTCCCGTCCTTCCTGAAGCCCATAAATGCCCTTCGCTGTTGAACTGCACTCGGTGCAGTCATCTTCTTGGCCCAGGACAGTGCAGAACACTGCCTGGTCAGTCAGGGGAGCAAGGAGTGCCCAAAGGAGTCATCCCTTACTCCTCATTGAGAAGGAATGGAAAGGGAAGGCCCGGGACCCAGTGCCACCCCCACTTTGCCCAGCACCCACCCAGCGAACCCCGCTTACCTCTGCCCAGCTCTCCAGCCTCTGCGGTGATACCATACAACACTGCGAGGCCAGTGCCGCCTCTGTTGCGGATCCGTATGTCCAGACTCTCATTCGTCTTGACCAAGGAAGGACATTGCAGTTCTAACTGTTGGGGTGAAGCCACCACCTCAATTTCTGCCGGCACATATAAGACCCTGGTGCCCACGAAGATGGTGGCAGTGACATTGTACTGCCCAGGTAAGGCATACATGTGGACAGCTGCATTTCCAGTGGTGTTGAGAACCTCTGTCTGGTCCCCAAATTCCCACAGTAAAGTGCTGACAGCAATGGGAATACTGACATTGAAGAGCACGGCCTGGTGTAGGCTGTACCGGGGCTGGAGTCCTGTGAAAGACCCAGGCAGCTGTGCCTGGAAGGGAGAGGGGACGAGTGATGGGCCACCACAGGCCTGCCCGGACAAATGCTCAGTGCAAAATGGCAAACAACTGGAGGAAGAGTTTGTTTCATGGGCAGTACCACACAAACACTGCCCCTGGCTGCTGAAACCTCCATATTCCTGGTCTTCGGCATAACAGAGGGCACTGCAGGTCTCCTCGGTGAGGTTCCCAGGGTGAACAGATGTGAAGAGGATGACAAGTTCAGCCCCTTCTGTGTGGTTGCTTGTCAGACACGTTATGTATTGAGCTCCTGGGGAAAGAACAGAAGATCCTCTTGCAATCTGACACTGTGAAGCCACGGCTCGGTGAAATCCTCCAAGAGACACCAGCCCACACCCCTGGGAACAGACTTCTCCTGGGCAGCTCTACTCCAAGCATTTCCTTTTTGAGACTTGCCTGGGAAGTCTTTAATCCCTCAGCAACAATTTCCAAACGCTTTACGCTAATTAACAATGACAGAAATAACAAGCCAGTCACACAGATTTATGGAGCAGAAACACTCAGCACATAAAAAAGGGGTCTTTGGAGAGCCTGACAGTCCCATGGGACACAGAGCCGCCGAGTCTGCCTCGCAAAGCAGCCCAAAGGGCTACCACCAAGTGAGACCATGAGAAAAGGTTGTCCCTTGGCTGTACCTTGGCCCAGTGCAGCACGTGTCACTCCATGCTGCCTGGGGCTTCCAGAAACAAGTCTTTAATCAAACAAACACCCTTGGGCAGAGTGGCACATCGAGGGCATGGGGGAACTGCCACCGGACTCTCCGCCAGGCCCACGCTGGAGGTGGGCAGACACTGCAGCCACCTTCCTCCTTGGGGAGAGCCAAGACCTTCCCACCTACTGGCAAGCAAAATCTGGTGCTAGAAAAGAGGGCAATGCCACACACAGCCTGCACCCGAGGGGTGCGGAAGGCCGCACATGTGTGCATTCACGGGAAGGATGCGCAGAAACAACGCGTGCCTGGCTACAGGGAGCACAAACACGCACGTGCCTGGACACGTACAATGACGGCAGCCCCGACAGCCCCATTCTCAGAGCAACAGCTCATTCCCTTGAGTTTACTTCCCCCTCACCGGCTTGCAAGGGGTGGGATGTTTCTCTGCCACAAACACACAGGCAGGGCCTCTGCCGCGTGCACAGCCGCAGCCCAGCTGGGACTGCCTGGCCTCCTCTCCAACTCTGCCCACGCAACCGAGCCATGTTTGCTCCTCTGTTTCTGCTGGTTGCTACAACATCTCCCCCCAAACATCTCAACAGCTCCGGCCTTGCGTGATCTTCCCGTATCAAACCCATCCAACTGTCCGGCTTTCTCCACGACCTTCCTGCAAACATTGAGCCACTTTTCTGGAGAAAAGTCCCGTGAGAAGGACCACAGCATGGGAACTACTTTGCTTTTTAACACCAGCCTGGTCATACTTCTTCATTCCCTGCCAGTCAGTAACAACTGTCAGTAGCTGGCAGGCTGTCCCCAGCCTACTCCCGTTACACTGAATTACCCAGAAGACAGCCTGACATTATTGTTTCCACACTAACTTAGTAGTTAAAGAGGGGAACGACTAATTACCGAGGGGAACAACAGTGCCAGCATTATTGATAATTCCAGCACCAGGCGAAGAGTGCGCTACCGAGGTGCTGCAAGGCTGGGGTGACTTTGCCGGGGAAAGCGGAGCAACCACCACCCGGGTTTTGGTCCTGGGGGAGCACTGCACTTCATCAGGCAGCTCAGCTGGCTCCCACCAGCTCTGGTTCCCCCAGCCCTCGTCACCGCATCCTCCCATCATGCAGTAAAGGAGATGCCTGATGCCTGTCAGGGGGAGCACTCGCTCTCCCTCCCTCTCTCTTACTTAGAGACAGCTGAGCATCTTATGATTAGTTTTCTTAGGGTTCCCCCTCTCACGCTCCAAGTAACACCACCCCACGTTTCTGCTAGCCAAGGCAGTCAGAAAACTGCACAAGAGCAGGCGACGGGCTGCAGATCGGGGCAGCGTTCACTCAGTGCTCCCGATGTGGAGCCCTGTCACCTGCAAAGATTCAACTTGGCACGTCCTCAGGTCCCATCAGCTCCAAGAGATTTCACTGCTTAAAGTCAGACTGTTAAAAGCTTGAGAGAACAAAAGCCTAAGGCTGGAGGTCATGGAGCTAGTGCCATCTGATGGCTGCTTGAAGCTTGGTCTGTAATGAGTTTGCTGATCTCAGCCCTGGTGTGACTGACTCCAGCCTTAAGGCATGAGGGTACAGTCATACGCTACCATTATTTGCTTAATTAGATTAGAACTGGTGACTTGAGGTCTAAAGAGGTCTAGATGTGATCCCCAGCTCCCCTCGGGCCCATCATTTCCACTGGTTTAGTCATTTCCCCCACCGCCGCCCGCAGAGCTTCCTTACCGCAAGTAGCATTGACGAACAAGACATCGAAGAGGGAAAGGTTTGCCACCACAGGAGGGTGGGCGCATCTCGTCTCTGACGCCTGAATAACTTTCACTTGTCTGTCTTCCACCCAACGGGGCAACCAGGAAAGTTTGCAGTCACAAACAAATGGATTCCAACTTAAGTTTCTGTAACAGGGAGATCAGACGAAAGTTAGGCATTAACTTGACATGTGCTAAGTGTTAATTACAGCAGCGTGCGGATCCCTCACTGTTGCCATCTGCGCCACTCCACTGAAATGCTGCAGAAAGATCTGCGAGGGGAGTTAATGAATAGGGAATCAAGCAATAATTAACATGATTTTTCTAGAGGCTAGAATTAGGCAAGTACTCCAAGTACTTTTTTCACTCTACAAATAATTGTTGCAATTAGAAGCAAATTACAGACACAATCTTATATTTAAAATAGTCTGCCATCTAACAGCCATTGGATGTAACGGCAGCCCCTCCAGCTAAGGGAGACTATTTACAGCTCCATTAAAAAATAGCTAAGAGAATAAAATTGATCTGTCAAAAAAGAAATGCAAAGTCAATGATAATCTTTCCATGTGGCAGTTTAATGAAAAGATGGAAACTTTAATTGCAGCTAAGCTTGATCCAAATTACAGCCTTTGGCATTCAGCTGCGAACAGGACAGGGATGGAAAGCTGTTTGTTTAGCTGACGCCAGCTGGGCTGGGCTGCCGCAGGGGCTGAACCTGGGATTTTTATACTGAAAGCACCACTTTGCCGGCCAGCCTTAGCAGGGACAGATTCACTTGGACCTAGCCTGGATCCTTTGTGTCTTTTCAGTGCCACTTGTAAGCAAAAATGCAGAGCTGAAAATGCCCTTTGTGTCCTGTCTTCAGGGAGAATGTGTGGCTTAGCTTTTTTCTTGCTTGCCAAGAGCAATTGCATGGGGTTAATCCTTTGGCTCGTTCAGACACAGAATGGCCATTCTGTGCTGTTGCTTCATGTATCCCTCCTGGAAAAGTGTGCCAACCCCTCGCCACCCTACCCATAACAGCACAGATTTTAATCACTTCAATTAAAAAACACTATAAGCCTAAGAACTTGAATCACTTAGGGATAACATCTTCAAGTGTCTTCAAGTGACTTAGACACCTCAGTCAGGGTCTCCTGTGTTGCAGGTCAGTGCCCTTTTCGTCAGATCCCCCAGTCCCAAGGTGTGACCGTACAAACGGGAACAGCAAGCGTGAGCCGGAGCACGGCCAGAGACAAGAACCTCAGCAGAGCTGGTGTGGGAGAGAAGCAGGGAAGGCAGGAAGGCAGTGACAGTGGTCAGAGGTATCCAGGAGACAGAAGCAAAGTCTGGGAAGCGGCTATGCTTGAAGGGCACCAACAGGACCCAGGAGCAGGACACAGCTTGAGGAAGAAACTGGAGAGAGTCCAAAAGGCAGCTGCTTGGTTGGGTACATGCCCCAGGTCTCCCCAAGACAGCACTGCATCCCACCCCACCGGGAAGGGAAGAGCTGTTTCAAGGAAAGGTCTAAATAGAGAACTGGGAAACAAAGAAGATGAACTTACATTTCACTTAAATTAAATAAATTATCAAATATTCCATCTTCTAATGTAGAAATCTTGTTGTGGCTTACATCTCTGTAAAAGAGGGAAAATGAAAAGGAAAGTTCATCACGCTGGTAACAACTTCCTGGCCAACACACAGATCAACCTCTGTCCCAAGCTCTGCTTGGGTACTAGTGACCCCCTGAGCACCTTGAGTCTCAACAGCCACATACATATGATAGCAAGATGTCGCTAAGGCACTAAGTCATGGAATCACAGTGCGGTTGAGGTTGGAAGGGACCTTGGGTCATCTGGTCCAACCCCCCTGCTCAAGCAGGGTCACCTACAGCAGGCTGCCCACAACCATATCCAGACTGCTTTTGAGTATCTCCAAGGATGGAGACTTCACAACCTCTCTGGGCAGCCCGCTTCCGCGTTCAAGTCCAGTCCGCATGCTCCAAGTCCTTCCCTAAGTCCCTCTATTTTTAGGAGATGCTGAGGTGTAAAGATGGCAGGCTGTCCAGGTTGCCAGCTACTCAGCTGGAACCACCAAAGCAGGTTTTGGTGCTGGCTCTATTGCTGCCTTTTTTGATCTGACAGTCCAACTTTTCTTTAAAAACCAGTTAATCTTCTCTATGAACCATCAGCAAGTAACAGTGCAAACTCATCTGATCAGCAGCTGAACCAGTGAGTTTGCTAATGGTCAAAGGTCTCCCCTTCCCGTGGCCCACACAGAGTCTGGGCAGTTTTTGGGACAGCTCAGGGTGTGGGGAGCGAAGGGACATTGGACCTTTCCCCCACTAGTGCCGGGCTCCTCAAAGGACCCTCAGCCTCAGTACCCAAATTCCCTCAGAAGATAAGTGGGATTTGGCCACCGCAGCTTTATCGTAACGTTCCACGTACTAACACACATCTTGGGACAAATCTCATTCTCTTGCCTTGATCTCCTCTGCACCTAGCAGTACAGCGGGTCAAATCCCGCCCGATTCTCTGAATGCCACTGAGGGAATCAGTCATTCAATGGACTGCGCAGCTGAACACCTTGAGGAAGGAGTCCATGGACACATCTGTCTGGGGCTCGACAGATGAGGCCAAGCAAGAGCAAGGCTAATGTGTGAAACACAAGCATGCCTTCTAGGTACCAGCTCAAACGTGCACGGGGAGCTGGAGGACTGGAAGGGCATAGCATGTACTTACAGTTTTGCCAGAGAAGTCAGGCTTTCGAATATCTGAACATCTAAACCACTGATCTTGTTATTGGAAAGATCCCTAGAGAAAGAAAACACAATTTTCAGCTTTCGTTCAACTTCATTTTGTCATTCCTCCATTTATAGACCTTAGAAGACGACCTTTCTCCAAACTCCATCCAGACTCCGGATTGGAAAGTTTTGGTGTGTTAAAGTGGAGCATTTCTCCCAGCCGAAGAAAACACCTTTCCCAGCCGTGAAGTATTTGCTGCTCAAAGCTTTGTATAATGTTTAGATACAGATTAGGACCATCATTATATGCATACCATTCTGCAGCGTATCTAGAGTAATTACAGACGTGACAAAGGTATTACTAAATTTGATGTATCCTTTTAAAAAAAAATCCAAGCCTAATATGTTCAAAGAAGCAATTAAGAAATAATTTAGACTGAAGTAGTAATTAACTTAGAGAAAAATTTATGAGGAACTTCCAAGTCCATTTCTAGTGCCAAAGCACTGATCATTAATTACACAATGATGCATTCAACTTTTACTTTTTAAAGATCTTTTTGTCTCCCTTTGGAAAAGCTTAAAAGGCAAGAAGTAGTAACAAAGAGTATTTTCCGTATAAAATCAGGCTAGATTGTCCTTATAAAAGGAACACTGTTTTAAAAAAAGTCTCTAATCGCTCCCTGTAACACCAATAGCCTTCAACTCATCCAAAGCAAAATTGTTTCTGTCCTCCAGTCCAGCTCTCTCTTTTCACCCCATGTCCTCTTTTTCAATCTTAAAATGTCACTCAGCTAAGAAGTGAGAGTTTCGCTGATCGGTCTCTGCTCGTTCCCAATAAACTTCACTCTTTGGTGTCAGATGAACCTCCTTTGGCCAAAACCTTCTTTTAGCAGCATCAAAATACTTATTCTGAGCCCATGCAGCGGTTATTATCCCTCAGGGATTTCTGGCAGAGCTCCAGGGAGGCGGACAGGGCTGGATCACCGCAGCCGCAGCCGTGCCGTGTCGACAGCGGCGTTCTCCTACCCACCTCCTTTCTCACCTTTTTCCCCACAAGCATCTCCCATAACTTCTCCTTGCTGCCTCACCTCTTATTTTTATCCCCTAATCGATTAATTCTTGGTTTGATCTGACATTTCAACTGAATTTATCCTAATGAAAGGAATTCTGCCAAACTGGCAGGAAAATTACATATGATTCCAGGAAACTCTGGGGATAAGTAACAGGGATGGATGTCTCTTTAAAAGGTTTATTTTCCCTGATTTTGCTGTCCAGGATTTTCTTTGCCAAGCTGAATGGATTCAGAAGAGTTCACCAGCAACACCAATAAAGAAGTCCAAGAAATGTGCAAAATGAAAGCTCGACAAATACACTTAAAAAAAGGATGCTAGCAAAAATATCCAAGCAAGCCAGTGTTTTTTTGTCTCGGGGTAGCTGGGACAATAGTTAAAGAATACAGAGCATCCATTGCTGAAGCGTCACAGACCACACGTTCTGCACAGGAGACATGAGAGTCACCTCCAAACCCTTTTCCAGCTCCCACTTGCAAGACAAACACACAAGCGAGCGTGGACTGGAATCCCAACTGCTGCCAGCCAGGTCAGATCCTTCCTCAGGGAAGCTCCTGCTCCACTCCTCCAGGAGTATTTTCTGTAAGTTGTACTCCTCTGCCTCTGCACCTCCTCCCATGACTTGACCAGTTTTGGAAAGGACCAGACCACCAACCAGCTACCTTACTGGGAGACCAGTAAAACTATTTCTCATCTTTGAAATACCTGGAAATAACCCACTTAGTTTTTAGGCAGCACCTCAAGCCCAAGACAGAAGGAAATGGTGTTTCAGCTCTGATGCCTTCTTGCTCCTTGCCCAGACAAGAGAGACCTCCAAAACAAACCATTCTGCTGCTACAAAATCAGGGCTCTGGCATTTCAAAGAGCCTCTTCAAAAGCGCTGCTTGGCTGCACGGAGAAGAGCGCGCGCAGGGCAGGGTGAAGCTCTTGGCATCGCGGATCAGCAGGCGGGCGCCTGAGCCACGCAGGGTACTGGGACAGCCAGCCCCAAGACCAGCCGCCTTCCCTGCAGCTCTCTGCAGCTTTCCCTCCATGATTCCCACCTTCCTGCTTCCCAGGTAGAAGTGACCACCTCCAGCTGGGCAGGGCTGCTCTTCTCCGTCCCTCTGCCACAGTGCCAGGCGTGGAGGGGCTGGTTCTGAGCCTTCCACTAGCCCTCTACCAACACCCCTTATCACTATTTCCATTTCACCTCTGAGAAAGCTTTCAAACTTCAGATAAGTGAAGGCTAAGACCCCAAATCCTCGACTCCCAGGGGTCAGTCAGCTCTGTGCCTACCCGAGGGCAGGACCAGGGATGCCTGTGACCCGGTACCTGCTCCAGGAAGATGCACAGCGGCAGAGCTGCTCCCACCAGCCTCAGCAAACAGGTGAAACGCAAATACGGGCAGTAATTCCCCAGGCAGTGTGCTTCTCCACAGTGTGTGGGACTGACACTAGATGTCACTGCCTACTGAGCGGCACGCACGGGGGGAAGGAGCTCCTGGTGAACAAGGGGGATCCAGAGGGGACTCAAGGGGTGCAGGACGCCTGGTGCGGTGGTTGCGGCCAGCGGGTTTTCTTCAGAAAGGGCCAGGAGGAGCTGTCCCCCATAAATTAATCAGTGAGAACCCTCAACCCTTGGATTTGCTCAAGGGGCTGCGCTGCTTTGTACAGCCAGGACAGCTTGTGAGGGTGTCAGGCCGCTCGGATGCGTCTCTGCGGCATCGGCACTGCCGTGCCCGGGTGAGCCTCCACGGCCTCACAGCGGAAGGGCTGGAGGGGGCTCCCACGCCTTTCTCCTCTTCTCCCGATAGTACAGCTTGGCTGTCCTTCCGCACGCGCCGTCACCAAGCTGATGCTGCCAGATACTACCATCTGAGCTCACCCGTTTATCCGGCACCCACTACTGCCACCCAAAGCTGGCGCTGACCCACAGCCCAGCACGCAGGGATGCTCCACCAGTGGGCTTCAAAGGAGAAGGCTGGGGCTCAGTTCCCAGGCGAGGCTGCTTCAGAGACGCTCCAAACCCTTGGAGGTTACAATTAAGCCAAGCTCTGTCTATACCCTGACACTTTTGTCACTTAACTACAACTCGCACGCTCTGCAAAGGATCCCAAAACCTTGGCTCCCAGCCTCTGTCTTCCACAGCCTGAGCTCCCATCCAGGACCTGCAGAGAAGCCGCTGTCCTCCATCCAGACCAGGCACTAGATGGCAACCCACCGGCACGTACAAAGCAGAGCACAATTCCCTCGCTGTTTTCTACCCTTGCCTTCACAACCTGATGAGGAACCGGCATAAAACCTCCCAGCTTTCAATCTCCCCAGACCTCCCTGGTGCAGAGCCTGCAAGGGAAGCAGAACTCCTGTTGACAGGACAGCTTGGAGAAGTGAGGAACGGTGGCGGATGCCAGCGCCTGCCACCTCCAGCCACGAGGCAGCGAGCTGGGCTCCCAGCCGCCTGCTTGCCTTCTCCCACTGGTCTGTCTCCAGCTTGTGTGGAAAATCATATTAAGCCTTCCTGGCATGGGAAAGATGGCTGTGAACCAAGCCAGGTTGCAGAGAAAAAAAAAAAAAAAAAAAAAAGGAAATACTGAGCAATAAAACCCAACGTAAAGGCTGTGGGACAGAGCTCAGCCTCTCGGTGCCACAAACTGCCACGACTGTATTTTCCCAGCCCACTGCCAGGCTGGAGGAAATTCGGAGCAGGTTCAAAGCAGAGCTGAAGCCAGCAGAAAACAAGGCTCTCCATTGAAATGCACTGCGCACGCAGACTGCCGCCCTCACCACGAGAAGAAAGAAAAATTTAATTTATTTGTGCCACGGGGGATATTGAGAACACACTGTGCTGCCCAGAGGAGGCCAACTATGGGCAAGACACAACTTCTCGATCTTGCCTCAGTTTCCACAGCTGTAAAATGGAGCCATGTCATGCCAGAGGAGGCTGGGAGGGCTGGCCCACTTCTCCACAGACCTCTGTGGGGCAAGGGGCACCAAAACCCACCACCGGCTATGGTGTAGAACAAGAAGTGGGTGAGAGACGCCCTACAGACAGCTTCCCTTGCAGCTCCCTACGTGCCCCGGCAAACACTCACGCATTTAACTTACATGCCTAGCAAAGCAAGTTTTAAAAAACCTTCTTCTGGGAGTGGAGTGGGTTGTGGGGGGAAAGGCGAAGCTTCGGATGAGGGAACGTTTGGTAACGAGGGCATCAGCCTGAGCCTTGGGAGCCTTCAGCTCCATCCCAGCTCCGCTACCAATTCCCCACGTGCTGCCGGCTGAGCCACCCGACCTCTGCTGAGCTGTGTGCACCGCAGGGCTAACAGCGGCCCGTCTCACGTCAGCGTGAGGATGGATCAGCGCCAGCGAGATCTCCTGCAGACGGGGTGGGGTAACTTTGGGGGCTGCAAAGCACCCAGCGCTGGCGTGCCCTCACCTAGCTGCTGCCCTCCACTGCCGGAAGCGAGCAGCAGGGCTCGGTGCCGCCCGCTTTGTCCCTTTGGGATGCTCAGACGGGATCCACGGCCCTGCAGCTGCGAGCCCGGGGCAGCCAGAGGGGTTATTTCTGCAGCGCTGTGGTGGACAGGCTTTTTTTGGTGCACTGCTGGTTTTTTCTTAATTCCACAGAACATATAATGTTGAGCAGAGTATAGCATGCCTCCGCCTGCCAAGCCTGATGTCATGCTCTCATTATGTCATTTGTGGGCCTGCGCTGCCTTCATTTCACAAAAAGGGGAGGGAAGGGGAGGGGGGG